CCTCTCCTTATCCTCCTCCTCCTCCACCCCCTCCCCCACCTCCTCCTCCTCCTCCTCCACCTCCTCCCCCACGTTCTCCCCCTCCTCCGCGACCTCCTCCCTGTATCACTGTTCAACATACGCGCGGTAACGCTAATAGCTATGATCTCTGTGAAGATTGAGTTTATTGATGGCGGTGTTAGAAAGAGCCAACGCGTGACGCGTGCATATTTGCTAATTAATGAGGCTAATCGTCCTACAATAAAATCGACACTCACAGAGATTGTTGCTAAGACATGTATCATCATGCATGTATAATTCTAGAAACGTAACTCATATAGTTCGTGAGATATGATAGGTAAATACACTTTCCTACCGGCCATACGCCTACTATGCCTGTATAAGCATATGGGCATTACCGCGCGTGAATTACAGCTAATTAATTAGACTAATCGTGCGTCAATAAACTCGACACTCACAGAGGTTATTGCTAAGACATGTATCATTATGCATGTAGAATTCTAGAAACGTAACTCATATAGTTCGCGAGATATGATAGGTAAATACACTTTCCTACCGGCCATATATAGCGTGATAGTGTGTGTGCGGAGGGGGGGGGGTTAACAGCTGTATACAATGCGCCCAGTACAGACAGTACAGGCGGGCGCGGGCAGGGGATTTTGCATTTGTGTTGTGGCGTTTGCATTTGTGTTGTGGGATTTTGCATTTGTGTTGTGGCGTTTGTATTTGTGCTGTGACGTTTGCATTTGTGTTGCGGGATTTGCATTTGTGTTGCGGGATTTGTATTTGTGTTGTGGGATTTGTATTTGTGTTGTGGGATTTGTATTTGTGATGAGCCTTCTGCGCCACCGTACGTTACAATGTGTATGGTTGGTGGAAAAGATGGTGTGTTTGTAAACCGACATATGGTTGGACTAATTTGACAAACCGTACACCATACAGACACAGTGGCAATCGAGAAACACCGGCACCAGCTTACGCATGACATCGAAAGCAAAACCGAAACGGAAACCTGCCAGCATTTCTGTCATAACGAACCGCTCAGTCTACTATGATTAGGCACGTTCAGTTACGTTGGTTAATTTCGTTAGCGCACGCTATCGCAGAATGCGCTGCGAGCCATACCAACATGCATAGCGCGCTACGACAACAACAGCCATTTCGAAGCGTTCGTACTTTTCATATTTCACTTGCTTTTAAATAGTCGTTTTTTAGCGTATCCTTATAAATGTGCTCATGCGCCCATACTGGTGATCACATAACAATTGGGAAATTTGGGTATCCTAAACCAGTAAACGGCGGAATGCATAGCAGCCATAGCAGGCAGACAGACAGAGTTCGTTCTTGTAGTACCTAATATAGTTATCACGGGAAATTAGAAATCCGTCACGACTCCTGCTTGATAAAGAAACGACAACAACGACGATGGCAGCGGCTTTAACAAAAACAATAGCAGCAGCAATAGCGTCGTGGGCAGGGCCGCAGGGGTGGCACCAGATATTTCCCGACACAGCGGATAAGGTCTCCGACGCGGAGGGGTTAAGGTCGTTCAGGTCCATCTCCACCACCCTTGACCATAGCAGTACTAGACCAATAGTGGCAGCAGTAGTATCAAACCCACACTAGTTATCTTTCTAAATGATATTATACATCGTTTGAAATATTCTCGAGAATCACATATTTGCTAAATCGTTGAAGCTTAATTAAGCCTAAATATTCGTATTTTATCAGAGCATAGAACGCTATACCCAATCCTATAGTAATTCATGTGTCCCGGTCCACCATTACTACATTTACTGGTTGGATGTAGTTTCTGCTCATGTATCGTCTAAGTTTGCGTTCACTTGTGAGATTTTTCAAATGATAGCTCGATCTGTTGATGTCAGTTAACGCTAAACGTGCAAACAAACGAAGGACGTCAGTTTAGTCCGTTTAGCCTTTCCACAATCTTAACAATTACTACATCATGATTTCCTGCAGGTCACGAGCTAGACGTAAGAACTGTCGTCGTAGGAAAGGAATCCGCAGGCCTACTGACCAGAGAAGTTTTGTCCTCGCTGAATGCCTCAGTATCGACATCTAAAGCAAAGCATCAGGTAAGCCAATCAAAAGCTGTAACATACGCCAAATTTCAACGTTATATAAGTCACCTATATATTATAAAAGTATTGTAATGTGTGTTCTATGCCAGCTGAACATTAGATTAATCGTGTATGTAGAGTTTGCAAGCATGCGTCCGCTCAGGAGGAACACTGGAGAATCAGCCATGCTGCGAGCACGGACAGTTTGCTCTGCAAGGAATGCACGTCTGTCGAAAATGGCTCAATTGTCAGGAGTTGAGTGACCTTGGCGTAACGAGATTAATAAAATCTATTGGACTTTACAAGGTAAACTGTAGAGTATAGATAATTGTCGGTTGTTTGTGTATGTCACTCCCGATCCGTGGCCCGTTGTGCTATGTAGGCGTGGTTGGTTAGTTGGTTGCACACAGACTAGGCTATGCGGGAAGAAAAATGTGCAATAAATTCAGGACAAGGAAGAAGGACCACTGATGAATTTAAATAAAGATAAACATCTTGTACTATCACATCTAAATTAAACACGTAATTCACTTACACTTACTCTCGCACCGGCTCGCCCTTATAATAGTGTGGCTGTCAAACACGTCAACTCTCTCCGTTGCGACCTAGAAACAACTAACTCGCTTCCTCTCCTTCTTAGAAGGTTTGCCACCGTTGAAGATGTTTTAAGAAAAACTCACGATAACTTCATCTGTACCGTATTAATATTAACAAGATATATTATAAGGAGACGAAGTGTAATTATGTTCTGTCACAGACGTTACATAGACGTGTCACGTGTCCCGTGTGTTTACTAAACTAATGCATTATTTCATTTCACTTTGCAGAAAGTATTTCAGGCTACTTTTAAAAGGCATAAGATCGTGCTGATGCAACTTCCTATAGCCAAGAATAAGATAGTGCATAAACAAGCACTGGCAAACTACCAGTTGCTGCAACCAAATCCGCTTGTAGTGCAGCTGATTGGCGTCTGTGAGATAACGCAGGAGTTTGCTGTGGAATACTATGAGCTAGGTGACGCCCGATATGCAGAACAATACATTCAGTCCTTAAGTCAGGAGCAAGCAGACGAGCGGCAGCTGACATAGGCAATGAAATTAATATAATCGGGTAGAGATGTTGCGTAGTAAACCAGGAGTTTCTCTATTCATAACGTATAATTTATAACGTATTGCATCCTCATACACATAAACAAAAAATTTGCATAACTTCACTTCCATAGAAAGCTTAAAGACAGTTAAACCGTCCTGCATACGCATGATTGGTCCCTAGAGATTTTGTAACAGAGGTTTCCTTGTTATTCGAACAGAGGGAATGTCGTTAAATCCAGGAGAAAATGCACGTATTAACTCGTTTTTATATTAGCCTGCCGCTGTATAGAAATATATTGTGAACTTAGTAAATATGTATTCGCCTGTACAGGAATAGCATGAACTCTTACAATATTTCTTAGTAAATACTATTTTGCTGTTGCAATGCGTTGATTTTAATTCGACCATATGCCAATATGCCCTTGTATCGTTGTGTTTTTCTAGAAAGTGTTGTTCACCATACATGCTTATAAACACACGTGAATAGCCTAGCAGCACATCCTCCATACTCATACGCTGTATTGGGTCTACTATTTTGCACTGCGCGTGGATATCTGCGAGACGTCGCATCAGGTTGGAGTTTCTCGGCAACATGCGATCACACGCACCGTCGTATCTTCCAGACATCCCAAACTTTACCTGTCTTGGCAGCAAGCGCCTTCACGCAGCTACTGTAGTGGATGACTTACAACTCAGTGAAGGCGACAACGTCGTGTTCGGGTGCGAGAAATGAACCGTAAGTGATATTTTGCATCAATATTGGTTCGACACCCATTTCAGGTAAAACGTCCATGTCACTGAGAAGCAGGCGCATGTCGTCAGAGAGGAGGTACTGAGATAGAGTCGTCTTCCAGTTGTTCTGATCGGCATGACATCGCCCCTTCTCATGCAGCAATAAGATTGATCGCTGCGTAGTCCATAGCACAGCAG